CACCGGTAGTGACGTCATGGCTGTCGCCGGCCAACGAGTTGGTGTTTTTTCAATGTATGCTTCAGACACGGGTCACGACGAGGCGTTCCCCATAGCGACCCCTAGAGGACGCAGTGTCTCGTTCCCTACTCAGGGAACTATGGTTACATAAGTAACCTGAGACGTTTTCTTCCCTCTAGGGGGCTGGAAACCTGTGTTACCTATGTTTGTGATTGAGCAGATTTCCTACAGCTGTGGACCATAAGCACGTGCTTAAAAGAAGCCACACTGCTGCACTTGAGTGGCGGGACTTGAGCGGCCGTCCAGACGTGGAGATACGCTCTCCTTTCTATTTTTGTTCTCTTGGCTAATTTTTCCCATTCGTTGTTTATATTTTGCGTAATTTTCAATAAATTTCCCTATTAGACCGAGCCTTTGTTATCCCTCTTTTGTGGCTGAAACAGAGACATTGCCACAGTTCTTCTGGATTGAGTCTGTCTCAGTTTGTTCTGTTTCTTCATGTCATTACAGACAGACTGATGATGATCAGATCAGATCTCTGTGTGCAGCACTGGCTGTTGTCAAACAAAAATCTCACTGGATTATTACAATTAATGGCAAAATGAATGTTTGGAAATGTAAACTGATATTTCCTACTGACACACTACAGCAAAAGATAGAAATAACTGACTTAAAACCATTTTTAAGCTGGTGAAAATACCAGTGTTCTAATCATTTTGGCCACCACTGTAGTCTATTTCATTGACTATGATGCAAGTGTTTCTGAATATTTGAATAAAGCTTTATTGTTTCATGCCAACGGCCCTAGAATATAGCATGAAGTTTCTCCACAAAAAAGTATTTTAATGTAAATTATATTCATCAACATTACTTTTTACGATTATGATATAAAGAGAAATCATAATAACAGCAATTAACATACAGGTAAACAGAATAAAAAGTTCTGAGTGTCATTGATATAATATACACAAACACATTTATAATCTGTAAGAATCTGTTCTTCTTCAAACTAACTGTTTTATTGTTGAAGTCAGATTGTTTACTTTCTTTCAAAACTTGTCCTTATATATATTGCACAACATATGAGGAACATATCTGGTAAAAAAAATCCATATTGTTTTTTTATTTTATCATATTGTTCTTCAAATTTGTCTCTCCAAAAATGTGTCCCTACTGAAATACATAAATATAATATATTACACTATATTTTCCCAGCCAAATCAATTAAAATGACCATTTAAATTTTTAAGATTCATCAAAATCATATTTTGAAATGCATATTTTATGTGTAAAATACATAAATTTGATCATATTCATTTGATGTATTTAACCAACCGTCAAATTGGAATCAATCAAAAAATGTAGTTAACTTATTTAAAAAAAAAAAAAACTAAGATTTACAGAACCTCAGACACTTTGATTTTCTGAGACGGACAATACACACAAAGTGCATTAACATACAGACATTTGTTTCCACATCTCACTGAGAGAAAATGTGTGGGGTGTAGCAACTCATAATGTAAAAACTGCACATATCTCTCACCTATATGCATTAGTTACTTCTTATCCCCTTCCTTCCCCTCACCCATCCTTCCCTTCACTCAGCTCACTCAGAATGGCCAATAACAAAATATAATGTTCTATATGAATGCAAGTGATATTCACAGTCATGTTTGGTATCATTTGAATTGTCTCCGTGTGTCTGGTACAATGGTCTTATTCTTACAAGAAGTAAACTAAAAGGTTATACAGATCCTAAGAGTTTAGAAATATTTTGCTCACTGTAGAGGGTGTGCCATTTCCCAGTGTCTTTCATGCAAATTACCATCTGTCCCCAAATGGTGTTAACATGTCTAGGCCTTGATCAATGCAAATTCTAATTGTTAGTTCCTGCCTCCATTTTGGAGGATGTTTGTCTTGGTTTGAGGTATTAATGTGAAAACTGCAAGAGGATCAGGACGATTCTGCAGAATAAGCCCGTAGTATGGAGCACATCCACACACTCCATGCTATGTATTTTTCCAAAGTCAGGTATGCATATTTTATCTTTGAGAAATTGATGTTTTGTATTGATATGATTTGATATATTTGAATTGGCTATGTAATTGGCATACTACTACGGGGCCCGCGAGGTGACATGGTCGGTTCACTTAAGTTTTGTCGTGGCCACGACATAATTCGTGGGAACGTGATATTATGTTACGGCCACGAGATCATTTTGTCGAGGTAACAACATCCTTATGTCGTGGCCTTCTTATGTTGAGGGAACGACATATTTTTCTCGTGGCCACGACTTTAATGTGTAAACAAACCTGCGCTGCCTGACCATAGCAACCCGGGATGATCAGAAATGGATAAAACATTTTTATTAACATTAAACATTTAATTTAATATTTGTATAGACATATATTATAATTATTAGGCTATTACATTAACTTACTAGGGCTATATTTTTATATTTATTTTTAAATATGCTTATTTCCCCTTTCACTTTGTGTATCGCTTTACCTAGTTAACGTTTTGTATAATTATTGATGATAAATGAGCGTGTTGTGTTTTCATTTACAAATGAAACTACGTGAATGATTAATTCCTCAATGAAACACTATAGTATTTATAATTATGGTTTATTAATTAGCTGAAATAAAATGAAATATATGTTAAATTTAAACTGCATTCCAGCAAAAATTCCAATCAGCAAAATCAAAGCTTTATTAGCATGTCGAGCATTTACAGTAGGCTATTATTTACAAAAGTATTCAGAACGTTAAGTAAAGAGATCGAAATGAAGGGGGGAAAATGAATATAAACGAATATAAAAATCTAACCATTAATAATAATAATAATAATAATAATATACAAATATTACAGGAAAAAGGCGATCAATTAATGGACTTAAAAGACTGTAGGATGGATAAAAATGTTTTTATATTTTATATTATGCACTTTATGTAACATTTATTCATGATAAACTTCATTTGAATGCTGACTATCGCACCTAATACAGTCCGGTAGCCAAGGCCAATGGTTAATATAATCATTTAATAATGTAATCATTTCTATAATAAATAATATCATAATTTCTTAATTTAAAATAAAATATTAATGAATCCATCTCTGATAATCACGGGATGCTATGGTCACGCAGGTTTGTTTACGCATTAAACTCTTGGCCACGAGAAAAATATGTCGTTCCCTCAACATAAGAAGTCGTGGTCACGAGAAATGGATGTTGTTCCCTCAACATAGCATCTCGAGGCCACGACATAAGGATGTCCTTACCTTGACAAAATGATCTCGTGGCCATGACAAAATATCACGTTCCCACGAGTTTTTATGTAGTGGCCACGACAAAACTAAGTGAACCGACCATGTCACCTCGCGGGCACTGTATAATACATATTTACCTGACTAATAATTGTTACATTTGATTTTATTCTGACTTACTCTGAAATTATTTTCTCAAGTAGATTAAGTGAAGGCGTATGCTTCCGCAAATCTATGTTCAGGGTTAAGTACATACTAAATCCCAGGTTAGATGGAGCATGGGGCACATCAGGTGAGGTTTTAGATTTCTGACTAACTGCTTGACTTTAGTTAAGTTATACTCAATCACACTTAAGCGAGGGGGGGTTACTGGGGGGGGGGGGATATTAGTCATAGTATGGTCATAACCACTGGTTATTGTCTCAGCTTTATTTAAGTTGTACGTAGTTATATTAACTATTGGGGTCTAGGAATATAGTACTAGCATAACCGCTGATTATTGTTTGGGCTTTATACAAGTTGTACGTATTTATTTTTAACTATCGGGGGCTAGATAAAAATACTATTGAAATATTAACATATTTCATAGTACTAGCATAACCGCTGATTATTGTTTCAACTTTAGTTAAGTTGTACGTTGTTATATAACTATCGGGGGCTAGATAAATTGTACTAGCATAACCTCTGATTATTGTTTGGGCTTTAAGTTGTACATGGGTAACTGTAGGGGGCTAAACAGAACTACTATTTAAAGAATGGTAAGCATGGGCGACCTATTAAATAGTATAAGTCATAACCTCTGGCTAATGATCAGACTGGCGAGTTTGTAATTGTGGGGCCCATGTAAAACGGCTGACGTGAGGCACCCTGAGCGACATAGATTCCTAATGAACGAGTAAATATAAAGTAAAGAGTTAAATATAATAATCAAACGACAAAATAATAATAATTAGAAATGGACAAACCACCAATCCGTATGACAATCTAAATTTGAGGTCATAATAAAATGGAGTCAGATGATTAGAATTTAACTTAAATTTAATAACTTTGCGCACTGCAAGAAACCTTCAGCCACCATTGGATACCTTCCTTGGGCCAATTGGGTGATCCTTACAAAACAAACAATCTTCAAACACTATTCAAAGTAATAACTTGCGTGATTGTTTGTTTTAAGCATAACAATTCTATAATGCTAGCCAGCTCGACTTTGAACAACTGCACATATAAGTGTGTAGTTTTTGTTTTTGTTTCAGTCTTTCTGGTCAAGTTGGGATTTTTGATTTTAATTAAACCAATACAATCTAAATGTTTTTCCTTCCTTTCACAGAAATAAATGTCAAAAGGAAAACAACAACAACAACGTTTTGGGACAGCCACGCCCTAATAAATATGATTTTGTATATATTTAGCTCATCAGTATCTCAATAATGCTTCTATTCTTTTGAAATATCCAGTGTAACCTTAATTCTTAATTGTTCTGTTTAATTTTAGTGTGGGACAAATTAAGAAGAATGGCCCATATAACCTGCTTTAAATGTTAATTCACTCACCACAAACAGCAACAATGAAGATATTTTCGCTGCTGCTACTGGTGCTGCTGTTGATGATTTGTAGTTTATATTGTCCAGCATCTGTGATGTTGATGTTTGTGATGGTCAGAGATCCAGTCTGATGATCCAGTTTCAGTCGGTCTCTGAATCTCTCAAGACACTCAGCATCTGAAGAGATATAACTCTGACCTCCAATTATTTGAGCGATGCGAGTGTCATTATAAAACCATTTCATTCTGTCATTTTGGTTTGTTTTTACATCAGTGTGTAGAGTGACTGAATCTCCCTCCATCACACACACGTCTCTATCCGCACCAGATGTACCTGAAAATAAATAAACTGATAATACTAAATGACATTTGGGATAGTGGAACAAAAATGTACAACAAGAAAGTGCTGTGAAAATGGTTTCTATGCAGTTCATAAAGATTGAACCTTAGACCCCTGATGAATATTAGCCCATTTAAGGTCTGGGAAAATAATTAGTCTTGTTAATCTTTTATACTTAGAGTTTTTAAAGCCTTGGTTGCATGCATTTAGCCTACCCACACATTTCAACAGCACGACCCATGTTGGTAGCTGATTATATTTTAACATTCATTCACAAAAGACATTGAATTAGTTTTAAAGTAATATACAGAATTAAGAATGTGAAGTATATGTACTTTGTAAGATCCACTTTGAGCGTCAGAATGATTTAAAGGGTTAGTTCACCCAAAAATGAAAATTAGCCTGTGTTTTACTCGCCCTCAAAGCATCCTAGGTGTATATGACTTTCTTCTTTCAGATGAATCCAGTCGGAGTTATTTAAAAATTTGTCCTGGCTCTTCTAAGCTCTGTCATTGTAGTGGGTGGGTGTTTTTGTTCAACAGTCCAAAACACGTCAAATAAAACGTGCGCATCCATAATAAATCATGCCTCACACAGCTCCGGGGCGTGAATAAAGGCCTCCTGTAGAGAATCCATGTGTTTTTGTAAGAAAAATATCCATATTTCAAATGTAAAAAACACTTTTTTCTCACTTCCACTGACTGTGGTATGCGGAAGCCGTTCCGGCGGATGACGTAAGACGTCTGCATTGCGTGATTAGTGACGAACGCGGAGACAAAACAAAAAACGCCAGTCACGAATTAGAAGAACAAAACGAGGATTTGTAAAGAAAAATGTCAGAGGATTCCCTTTCATGGGAACTTCGAACTGCGTCCTCTAGGGGTCGCTATGGGGGAACGCCTCGTTGTGACCCGTGTCTGAAGCATACATTGAAAAAACACCAACTCGTTGGCCGGCGACAGCCATGACGTCACTACCGGTGCGTCTATAGTATAAATAGGCGCCGGGAGCACACATCATTCTCTTCTTCGTCTTCATTGACTGTTCTGTTTGAAGCGTGCATTTCTGTGGTAAGAGAGCGATCTCTATTTATCTCATTATGGCAGCACTAGCAAAGCATTTAAGGATGTGTGCATCCATGTTGACGTTGTTTAACATCTGATGACACACACGATCTATGCGTTATTTGTTTGGGCGAAGAGCACGCACGCGATGTCCTCGAGGGGGCAATCTGCGTGCATTGCGAGTTT